TCCGCAGCTGAAGGAAGGCGCCTCTGGCCTCTAGTCATTGCGACTACTGTAGGTGGTATGGAACTATACTGGTTTTTAAAACTTTTGGATAAATCTTTGTGAGATCCGATGTTGTATAGTACTTAACAGGCCTGGAACCAGAGACCTGAGTAGCAAATCCCACAGAGCCATGGATGTCAGTAAGTGATTGTGGGTCTCTTGTCTCCTCTCAGTCTAAGAGGGTTGTGAGGGTAAAGTAAAGGTACAGTATCTATATTCTTTTGAGGTCACTGAAGGAAATGCAGGATAGTAATCGGTTAAATAATCGTAAAACTGGAATTTATTTTATTTTATTTATATCCCGGAATGCATTGAAAACCATTTGATCCGTATCTGCTCTTTTCCGTCCATAGAAACTAATGGGAAGCTGCTATTCCGCCTTCGACCACTAGAGGGGGATATTTTGTTTCTTTTTTTCTTAGGTCCAGAAAGGTTCAGGGAAGGCAGGGAAGATACAGTCCAGGCAGTACAGTACCAGGCAGTCTGAAGACTGTCTCCCAATCCACTCTCTAAACACTGAGAGGAGTGAGGAAGCAGACAGGCACCCTTTTCACTGGCCAACAGTTAACTGAAAGTTCACATTTTGCACTTTCCTAGCCTCCCACGTGGTTTTTTTTCAGTTCTTAACTCAAATCTAAGTATGTAAGTCAAGTCAATATTTTCCTGTGAGAGTGGTTCTTAAGTCAAAATGTTCTTAACTCGAGACGTTCTTAAGTCAAGACCCCACTGTATCTATATTCTTTTGAGGTCACTGAAGGAAATGCAGGACAGCAATCGATTAAATAATCGTAAAACAGGAATTATATCCAGCCTAACTTTAGACAGAGGCTCGTAACATTGTACAGGAGGCAGCAACAAAAACCATCCCAAAGAAAAGGAAATGCAAGAAAGCAAAGTGGCTGCAAGGGAGATAGGGAAAGTTACAGAAAATTGAATGCAGACTTCCAAAGAATAGCAAGGAGAGACAAGAGGGCCTTCTTAAATGAACAATGTAAAGAAACAGAGGAAAATAATAGAAAAGGAAAAACCAGAGATCTGTTCAGGAAAATTGGAGATATTACAGGAACATTTTGTGCAAAGATGGACATGATAAAGGACAAAAATAGGAGGGACCTAACAGAAGCAGAAGACATCAAGAAGAGGTGACAAGAATACACGAATTATACCAGAAAGATTTGGATATCCCGGACAACCCAGACAATGTGGTTGCTGACCTTGAGCCAGACATCCTGGAGAGTGAAGTCAAGTGGGCCTTAGAAAGCTTGTCTAACAACAAGGCCAGTGGAAGTTTTGGCATTCCAGTGGAACTATTCAAAATCTTAAAAGACGATGCTGTTAAGGTGCTACACTCAATATGACAGCAAGTTTGGAAAACCCAACAGTGGCCAGAGGACTGGAAAAGATCTGTCTACATTCCAATCCCAAAGAAGGGCAGTGCCAAAGAATGCTCAAACTACCATACAATTGCACTCATTTCACACGCTAGCAAGGTTATGCTCAAATTCCTCCAAGGCAGGCTTCAGCAGTATGTGGACCGAGAACTCCCAGAAGTACAAGCTGGATTTCGAAGGGGCAGAGGAACTAGAGACCAAATTGCTAACATGCGGTGG